TCGTATAAGTTACCGGCCAGTACCATTCCGACAGATGAAGTGGAGAGGAAACAACTACCGGAAACAATTCTGGATAATACCTTTTGGGCTAAGACCGCAGTTGATTTTTATCTACATGAGCGGAGCCAAGGGTGTTACGCTGACATATACAAACTCAACGATGATATGCATTTGTTGATTGAACGGTCTTGGTGGGGTGTGTTATTAGGGGTTGAAGACAAAGGTTATTTCGATGGGGGGTAAGTCTTATATTTCTTCTTATATTTCATTTTGATTAATTTTTTTTAATTTATGTAATTCACTAATATTAGATGATTTCATTATTGTAAATTAATTTACTAAACAAACGAGCTGCGAAACTAAAACCTGTTGCTGGATAGGGAAGGATGTCGTTGGATATAAGAACGGATGTCGCCGGAGAGAGTGATAGATGGAGATGGAATGAGTTGCGATTTAGGGATTTAGGTTATGAGTTGCTTCTGCTGTGTAGTTATATACCCAAAACATTTGTGTTGCGAAACTAAAACCTGTTGCGAATTTGAAATTCAGTGTTGCGACAGTCAGAATCGCGTTGCGATAGTCAGAATCGCATTGCAATAGTCAGAATCGCATTGCGATTTACATATTCGCATTGCGATAGTCGGAAAATCGCAACGCGAATTTGGAAAATCGCAATGCGATAGTCAGAATCGCGTTGTGAATCTGGAAACTGATTTGCGATACCGGAGATCGCGTTGCGAATTATCGATCGCATTGCGATTTAGTTGGTCATTTTGACAAATCCAAAAAAAGTTGGTTAAAATCGTATATTATAAGGCATTTTTGGTCACTGAGTTATTTTCTCTAAATTTAAATGTTATAAAATCAGTTTGTGACATTTTGACTCGTATTTATGAATTAAATACGGGTAAGGGTGTTACATATGTGGTTGAGAAAAATGCATTGCAGAGAAGAGTTATTAAATGAAAATATGGGGCTGTACACAGGAAGTTTAGTTGCTGAAGTATCAAACAATGACAGTTTTATTAACAATAATTGGTCCAATATCTTTAAGAGGTCGCTTAGGGAAGGGGAATTGATAATCCGAAATGAACTTGTGTCGAAGGTGATCAACATCAACCTAAGTCAAGAGACCGAAGATAAAATTGTGTGGGTTCGTGATAAGGTTGGAGCTTTCTCTGTTAAAAAACTTAGTGTAATGCTTGTAAATGATGGAGTTGAGAATCCAGAGTTTAACCTTGATGTAATATGGAAGTTGAATGTCCTTCCTCGTAGCTAGAGTTTTATTTGGATGTTGATCATCAATAAGTTTCCAACCGAGGAATTTTTGTTGTCGAGGGGGATTGATCTAGAACCTTTGTTATGTGACTGCCCTTGGTGTGATGCAGTAACGGAGAATGTCGATCATCTCTTTGTGGCTTGTGGATTTGCAAAACAGTTATGGTCCAAGGTTTTTGAATGGTGGAATATACCTTGGAAGGCATCTTTATCGATTAGACTTGTGTAATAATTGTTTTGGGGTTTCTTTGACAGGGTTGTTTAGAAGTATGTGGCTTATAGTAGTGGCGGCCACTCTATGGACGATATGGTTAACAATGAATGAACGAGTTTTTGAAGGGCGTTTAGAGGAGGACTTGTTGAATGTGGTAGGGTTTTAAGAGATTATCATGGGAAGGTTTGCGCAATATTTTATGGTCCGATTTCTGCATATTGTTCAGACCGTGCGGAATTGATTGCTATGAAAACAACCCTTGAATTGTTTATTGAATCCGGAAAAGGTGTTCATCATGAGCTGATCGTGGAATCAGATTCGCAAGTTGCAGTGTCATGGGTTACTAAGCCGTCATTGAGACCATGGATATTTTGGAATTTCTTCACAAGCTTTGATAGCCTTTAATTCAAAATGTAAATAAAGGAAACACAAGATCTACCGTTAAAGAAGAAGAGGAAGAAAAGGCAGTTTGGCTGCACAATTTGAATCTGTAAAAGACTAAATTTCTATTATTAAAATATTTTAGTAATTTATTTAATTATTCAAAAAAATAACAAATATTTAATTTTGAATCATATACTTTTAAATATATTACGTAAATATAATAAGAGAGAACGAAAACTAAACTCAATTGATGATTTATTATTATTTACATTTTCATAAATCTTTATCAACCTACCATTAATAGTATAATCACCAAAGCCGAGCTTATAGAAAACAAATTAAAGTCGAATAGAACTACGTGTGAAATTGCTGAAAAAGTGCTACTTACGGACAAACATGAAAAATGAGAATTTGCGTTAATATTGAAATCTGAGAATATTTACAAAATATTCACACTGAGAAATCAACAAATTTACTGGTCTTTCTTTCTTGATCATAATTAGATGAGTCATTGGAGTCTATCGAGTCATCATAGCGACAATGCGGTGCTGAAGTCCAACTTTGAGGCCTGACTCTCCATTGAAACTTAATGTCTTCTGCTACTTTTTTGGCGTCGGCGTCGAAGGCAGCACCCAGCAAACCACGCCTTGTAAACCCTACTGCCTATAACCCATCTTCTCCTTTCCACCCATTGGGAAATGGTTGCCTTGGCAGCCCATCCTTCTCCGAAAACAAATCTGCTCCCTGCACATTCACCTCATCAAAATAAAATACCAACAATGTTTCCTCCAAATACACGTGTTAAGATCATTTACCTTCAGCCATTTTGGTACATTGCTTTTGAAACCAGTGGCAAGAATGATGGCATCGAACCTCTCCTTTCTTCCGTCTACAAACGGATCAGCCCCAAGGGACGTTATCCGTTTTATTACCCGGAAAAACCTAACACGTTATATAAACACTAATTTAGTTTAATTAACAACACTTTATAGAATGCAAGATTTGTATAGACAAAAGTTTTGCATTGAACCCTAATATTTCCACTCTTGATCTTGGCTATCGTCCCAACATCCAAAACAGGTGTCTTGTCGGATATGCTCTAAGTTCCAGGGGACTGATTTTGGGACGATGGAAGCCGGATTTTTCTGTGTCTCCGAGCCACATACGGGACATCAGAAGCAAAAACCATTCCACGAATCGAACGGGGAACCACTTGAGCATTTGTACCAGTAATCAAAATGTTGATATTCCTAGCATTTCACGAGGCAAGACGTGCATCTACCACAATGCATCGAGAATGTCGATTAAAAAAGGGGTAAACAAGAGATGATTATGAGAAGAAAGAAAAAAAGAAACAATGCTTACCGAGTCTCTAACGACAAGTAATGTGCGGGAATTAAAGTTGGCAAAATTCAACGCAACCTCCATGCCTGAATTCCCACAGCCAACCACCAAAACATCTTTTCCTCCATACGATCTTCCATTTCTATAGGAGCTTGAGTGAATCATAGTCCCGCCAAAATCACGCATTCCTTCGATAAACGGCACCACTCATCAGCATTCTCTCCAATGGCCACAATAAGCCACTGTGACACATACTCAATCTGTTCTTGTTTCGGCCCCGAGGTCGTGACTCGCCAAGCCTCATGTCGATGATCAAATTTGTACTTACTACAACCTTATTAAAAATTGGTTCTAAACCAAAATGATTGAGGTAGGACTCAAAATAATCCAAGAATTGGTTTTTGGTTGGGTAAGTTGGGAAATGACACTAAAGCAAAACAGGTTTTTAGCGGTGTTTTTCAGTCTGTGCGGCATTTTTAAGCGCTAAAAACCTTTGTGGCGCAAAAACAAACGTTACAAAAAGTGTCGCTGAAACAAATGCCGCAAAAGGTAGCGAAATTTTTCATTCACAATGCTAAATGTAATGGTATTTAGCGGCGTTTTTTACAACGTCGCTAAAGGTTATGATATTTAGCGGCGTTATTCCAAATGTCGCTATTTATGTTTTCTTTTGTGGTGTTTTGTCCCAAAAATGCCGCTAAACGTTCTGACATATAGTGACAATTTTCCCAAAATGCCGCTAAATGTTATGTCAAATAGTGGTGTTTGTGAATGTAAAGCGCCGCTATTGACTACGTATATAGTGGCGTTTTCTATATAAACTCCGCAAAAGATCTAATGGCGTTTTTTATACAAACGCCGCAAATTAAGACTACTTTTCAAATTTTGTTTTCTACTCTTTTGTTACCCAAATAAACTTGACATCCATAACAAGAAACTTTAAATCCATAACAAGAAACTTGAAATCCATAATAATAAATTAAAGTTTACATTAACGTAAAATATAATGTAGTTCAACATTGTTAACTACAATAAACAATAATAACACCTAAAATGGTGGACTCTGAGCTTAATTTTATCGTTGATTTTGAAAGTCTTCACATTTTTTTAATATGTTGTTTCTCTCTCTGCTTCCACAGGGATAACCATGTGAGCCCCACATCTGGATGCTGGATGATGAGGAGGTGGTCCCCGCATGGGATAGGGTGGACCAAGCGGGACAATATGATTCGAGTAATGTGGTGGAAAGGCCATGATTGGTTTATGTGGATAACAACTCCTCTACATGTGATCTCTCTGCGGCCAGCTTCGATCATCCTACTTGGGCAAGATGTGTCTTCTATGCATTCTATATTTCTGCTTCACAAACAACAGGCGAATCATTTTCGCAAGAGGAAAAGGTTTAATATCCTAAACAACTAACTGTGCTGAGAAAAAGAAAACTGCATAGGCACTCTAAAATGGTTTTCCAAAGAATTATCATACTGACATAAAGTTCATCAAACAGGATTCAGTTATTTAATATCCTAAACAAATGAACTAAATCATATAGTAACCATAAACATTTATTTGTGTCATGAATTTTATCATGAGAAACAGTTTTCCTAGTCGAACAGTACTTTGTGTGATGAGAAAATTAAAGGTTATCAGTGGCAGACATCAAATCTAAGAAAAGTTAGAGCTCTTTTGGGAATAGCGTAGCATAAATATGACATCATCTCTTAAAGCTTCACCAATAGGTAAACAGAAGGAGCCGAAGAGACGAATACATGCATGCACATCCACGATATAAATATTTAACAATCCACTAAAATACATGGAAGGTAAACTTAAAGTTGCTTGCCAGCATAGAAACTGGTGTGAATGCAGTATACCTCATTTGGAGCCTAATGACCTCAGCTTGAGTTTCATCAATGACACGGGTGTAGCTCTTACCAGCTGAGACCGTTTCAGCAAGAGGGAGTTTTGCATGTCTTTTTTCCTGGTAAGGTGGAAACTGAATGTGATACGAGTTCAAAGAGCTGTTCACCAGTAGGTTCACACTGAAATGAAGCAACATGTTTCTGCCCAGACTCAGATAAGATAGTTTCTGCTTATTATTACAGAACACATCTGGTTGAGTTTTACTAAACAGGACAAAGAGGTTTCCCTTCTTTTCATTCGGTAAGTTCTTAACTTCAACAACATCCAAAAAGACCTGAAAAAAAGCATTGAACATAATGAGGAAGAGCCCGTTAAAACAGGAAAGCAGCACCAGTAACCTTGGTCGAGGCTAAATAAAGGCAAAACAAGTTGAAAATAAGAAACATTTACAAGCAAAAGGACAACAATAGGAAATAAAATGAAACCGGCTAATGAAAAAGATCTTGTACTTAATGAAATGCTAGAGGAAAAAGTTTCTATAAACTACCTCTACAGCCCTCATCTCAAGAAGCTTAATAATTTTCAGAAACTCGTCTGCAGCATCTACTTCCTTAGGTAAAATGTCAGGCACGCAAGTAATGGTTGTGATAGGAGATGGAGAATTCCCTCTATACATGGCCCCTGCCTTCCAGTATCTTGTGCCAAATGTATCTGTTGGGGAAAACGGGTTATTTCCCACACGAACGTAGTTTTAAAATTGACCTAAAATGTCAAGATTAAGACCACCAAATGTTGCACAGCGGATAAACCTGTCAAACTATTGATATTAAACACAATGGAAAAGAACCGAATAAAAAACAATAAAGGAGAGAACACACCAAATTTACGAGGTTCGACGAGAATATCGTCTACTCCTCGAGCACCACACCGGATGATAACTTCACTATATCGCCAATATTACAACAAATGGAATTCTTTAGAATTCCCAAAGTGGGAGAATGAAGAATACGAGAGGAAGAGAGAACTTGTTTTTGGGATGATTTCTAATGAAAATACTTATGCCTATTTATAGTTGAGTTTCAAGAACAATATGTTCAAAGTTTGGCCACCTACCAAAGAATTTTCCAATGTGTACAAGTTAGCCACCAAATATGAAATTCACATGTTCAAAGTTTGGCCACCAACCAAGATGAAATTTCCAATAAGTTGGCCACCAACCAAGATGAAATTTCCAACTTGTCAACTTAATTTCTAGACAAATCTAACAAATCTCCACCTTGGCTTGAAATTACCAAGCCTACTCAACTTCTTCAACCCCCCAAATTTGTAGTGCCTCTAATTGCGCTCACAAGCGCCACACACCCGAAGGTGTTCATACTTTCAGGATGTTAATCAAGTTCAAACAATGATTGAACTTGATTACTGTTACCACCTTGGTCATCATATCTGCAGGATTTTCTGATGTCGCAATTTTCTGAAGTAGAATCTTTCCTTCTTCAAAGATCTCCCGCACAAAGTGATACCTCACGTCGATATGCTTAGTCCTTGAATGGTAGACTTGATTTTTCGCTAAGTGAATAGCGCTCTGACTGTCACAATAGAGACTAATGTGACTTTGAACAACTCCCAAGTCTTCCATCAACCCGTTAAGCCAAATTGATTCCTTTACATCCTCTGAAACTGCCATGTATTCTGCCTCTGTAGTAGACAAGGCCACCGTAGATTGCAATGTAGACTTCCAACTTACTGGGGCTTTAGCAAGAGTAAATAAATACCCAGTAGTTGATCGACGCTTATCCAAATCACCAGCATAATCGAAATCAGCATATCCAACCATACACTGACCAAGTTCTTCATCCTGTTCAAAAACTAAACCAACATCCACGGTTTGTTGGAGATACCGTAGAATCCATTTCACAGCTTGTCAATATCCTTCTCCAGGATCATACATGTACCTGCTCACAACTCCAACTGCTTGTGAAATGTCAGGACGCGTACACACCATTGCATACATCAAGCTCCCAACTGCATTAGCATATGGAACTTTTGCCATATACACTCGTTCTTCGTTAGTTTTAGGAGATAATTGAGAACTAAGTTTCAAATGAGAAGCCAATGGGATACTTACATGTTTGGTATTTTCATTCATGCCAAAACATAGTAATACCTTTCTCAGATACTGCTTCTGTATTAAACAAAGCTTCCCTCTATATCTATCTCTGCTTATCTCCATACCAAGAATCTTCTTGGCCTCACCTAGATCTTTCATCTCAAACTCTTGATTCAACTGAGCCTTTAATTTGTCTATCTCCTTTTGACTCTTCGAAGCGATCAACATATCGTCAACGTACAAGAGAAGATAAATGAAAGATCCATATTTGAGCTTTTGCAAATACACACAATGATCATATTTGCTTCTAGTATACTTTTGCCTCATTATAAAGCTATCAAATCGTTTGTACCACTGCCTCGGAGATTGCTTCAATCCATATAGCGATTTATTCAGCTTACAAACCCATTTCTCATAACCACCATCTTTGTATCCTTCTGGCTATGTCATATAGATCTCCTCTTCTAAATCACCGTGCAAGAAAGCCGTCTTTACATCAAGTTGAGCTAGCTCCAAATTCAATTGTGCTACCAAGGCCAACAATATTCTAATGGAGGAATGCTTCACAACAGGGGAAAATACTTCATTGTAGTCGATTCCCTCCTTTTGAGCGTAGCCTTTAGCTATCAACCGTGCCTTGTAGCGAACATCTTTCTTGTTATGAGATCCATCTTTCTTTACAAATACCCACTTGCATCCAACGGCTCTTTTACCTTTCGGTAATTGTGCCAGTTTCCAAGTGTCATTCTTTTGGAGAGATTGCATTTCTTTATCCATGGCACTTTTCCACTTATCACTTTCCAAGCTTTGTATTGCTTCTTGGTAAGTGATAGGGATATCATCATCAACAACTGGAAGAGCATAGGCCACCATATCAACAAATCGAGCAGGTCTACGAATTTCTCTCCTTGGCCTTGTAACTGCAAGTGTTTCTGGTGTCTCCAATGGTTCTTGGGTTTGAACCTCTTCATCTTCTGATTCTTCTATTGGAGTTGAAGGATCAGCTGCATCAACTTCTGGGATCATCATCTGCTGAAACTCCACCTGTTTTGGAGTATGCTCCACCTGCTGCGGAGTACTACTTGTCTGGACAGCTTCACTTGTTACATTCTTTACTAGGGAAGATTCATCAAAGGTAACATCTCTGCTATAAATTATCTTCTTGGTGTCTAAACACCAAAGGCGGAATCCCTTCACTCCATGGGTGATTCCCATAAAGAGAGCCTTCTTTACTCTCGATCAAGCTTGGATTCCTTCACATGATAATAAGCAGTGGATCCAAATACATGTAAGGAATCATAATCAGTAGCAGGTTTTCCAGACCGTACCTCCAATGGTGTTTTTCCTCCTATCGCTGATGACGGCAGACGATTAATGAGATGGCCAGCATATGTCACAGCCTCAGCCCAAAATGCCTTGCCTAACCCAACATTAGACAACATACATCGAACTTTCTCCAATAGTGTTCGATTCATACGCTCTGCCACCATATTCTGTTGTGGTGTATGTCTAACAGTGAAGTGTCGAACAATACCATACTCATGGCAAACGTCAAAGAATGGGTCACTTTTTATATTCCTCTCCATTGTCCGTCCTAAGACGTTTGATATTTCTACAAGTCTAGTTCTCGATCATATTTTTCCATTTCAGGAAAATTTGAAGCACTTCATCTTTAGACTTCATCGGATACACCCAAACTCTTTTTGGAAAAGTCATCTACAAAAGTTACAAAATAATGGTTTCCTCCCAAAGACGATGTCTTTGAAGGACCCCATACATCTGAGTGAATATAATCTACAATACCTTTTGTATTATGTATAGTGGTGCCAAACTTAACTCTCTTCTACTTTCCCAGAACACAATGCTCGCAAAAGTTCAATTTGCAAGCCTTTGCACCTTTCAACAATCCTTTCTTTGCCAGAATTTGCAAGGATTTCTCTCCAGCATGTCCCAACCGCATATGCCACAACTGGGTTGCGTCCAAATCATCACCTCCGGAAGCTGCTGCAACTGCTCCAATAATTGTACTACCTTGGTAGTAATACAAATTATTTTTCCTGATGCCCTTCATCATCACAAGTGCGCCATATGTAACTTTTAAAACTCCATCTCTCATAGTGACTACTGAGCCTTTGGATTCTAAGCCTCCCAACGAGATGAGATTTTTCTTCAAACTGGGCACGTATCGGATATCCGTCAGAACTCTGGTTGATCCATCTTGATTCTTCAATCGAATTGAACATATCCCAACAGTTTTACAGGCATTGTCATTGCCCATATAAACAACTCCTGCATTTAGTTCCACTAAATCGGAGAACCACTCCCGATTAGGGGACATATAATAGCTGCAACCCGAATCTAATATTCACTCATCGGAATGGAATGTTGTTGATGAAGCAACCAATGATATGTCAGAGTCATGTGCATCATGCTCTGCAACACATGCATCTGGAGCAGCTTTTCCTTTCTTCTTCAGCTTCGGACAATCTTTCTTCCAATGGCCTTTCTCATGACAAAAGGCACATTCATCTTTTCCCAGTCTGGACTTCGACTTTGATCTCCCTCTCCACTTTGGCTTTTGACTTTTCGAGCGACCTCTTGCCACCATGGCCTCTGCTGCTTCGTACTTGCTCTCCTTCTTGGTTTTCTTCCTGAGTTCATAACTATACAAAGCAGCAGTTACATCTTTAAGGGTAACATTATCCTTACCATGAAGTAACGTTGTCTCAAGGTGCTCAAATTCATCTGGAAGAGATGACAACAACATCAAAGCCAAATCTTCATCTTTGAAGGTTTCATCCATGCCCAATAAGTCTTCCACTAGCTCATTGAACGCAGTGATGTGTTCATTCATACTGGTGCCTGATTGATAATCAAATCTGAACAATCTTTTCTTTATGTGGAGACGATTCTGAGAGCTTTTCTTCAGGAATTTTTCCTCCACAGCTTTCTACATCTTACTTGTAGAAGTCTCGTTCTTGTAGCCATACTTCTGGTCCCTGGAAAGACAAGATCGAATCGTGCTGCACGCCAAATGATTGATTCTTCCCCATTCTTTCTCCTCCATATATTCAGGCTTTTCTTCCTCAATGGCGATGTCTAGACCTTGTTAGAATAAAGCGTCTAACAGCTCGCCTTGCCACATGCCAAAATGACCGGATCCATCGAACAACTCCACCGAGAAATTTGTATTTGACATCACCCTCCTCACCGGTCCAGATGAAGAGCTTGATGTCTCAACTGATCCGTATTTTGGCATTTTAATTCTAACGAACAATATTCAATATCACGAACGGTATCCTTTCAGCAATGGAACCACCAGGATAACCTCAACCGAAGCTCTGATGCCAATTGTTGGGGAAAACGGGTTATTTCTCACACGAACGTAGTTTTAAAATTGACCTAAAATGTCAAGATTAAAACCACCAAAGGTTGCACAGCGGATAAACCTGTCAAACTATTGAATATTGAAACACAATGGAAAAGAACCGAATAAAAAACAATAAAGGAGAGAACACACCAAATTTACGAGGTTCGACGAGAATATCGTCTACTCCTCGGGCACCACACCGGATGATAACTTCACTATATCGCCAATATTACAACAAATGGAATTCTTTAGAATTCCCAAAGTGGGAGAATGAAGAATACAAGAGGAAGAGAGAACTTGTTTTTGGGATGCTATCTAATGGAAATACTTAGGCCTATTTATAGTTGAGTTTCAAGAACAATATGTTCAAAGTTTGGCCACCTACTAAAGAATCTTCCAATGTGTACAAGTTAGCCACCAAATATGAAATTCACATGTTCAAAGTTTGGCCACCAACCAAGATGAAATTTCCAATAAATTGGCCACCAACCAAGATGAAATTTCCAACTTGTCAACTTAATTTCTAAACAAATCTAACAGTATCCTCCCACTGTTTAGTAGTTCCTGAAAACCCAACATCAAGCTTCTTCCCTTTAGTTCGATCCGATTCAGTATCATCATGCTCCAATATCTTGCCAAGTGTTTTGTTCAAATCTATGCAGTAAGAGACAGGATGCAACTGGTGGGTGTGCCAGATAAGGTCGATGTCATAAGTTGGAACGCAAAAGCGTTTAATGGACTTCTCTCGATTCCTGTTGATCAAATGAAGGAAACCCTTATATCTAGCTACAGCTTCTTGAACAAATATATCATTATTCATACGCTCTTTGGATACCTGGAGTAGAAGACGAGTCCAGGAAGATACAAGAAAAATTGGAAGATGGCAAATTTCAAAATCTATATCAGAAATTTGAGTGACAAAACTGTGATTTATTACGTGAAGAAATTTCCTAATTAAATAATTATCCTCAAAGGAACCAGGTTGCCTTAGCATTGCATAAAGTTTTCAACCTGACAATCAACTTGGTGAGAGAAAACTGCATTGCATAAATCTAGTTTTTGACATTTCAGTCCCCAATTAGCAGACTAATTAATCTAATATTTCCTTCCTTCAAAAGTATGAGATGAATGCTACAAAAATCACACATTCAAAAAGCTCAAATGATAATTCTCAGAATTACCTGATAAAAGAAAGGACTCTGCTTTTTTACAGCTGAAATTAGATCATATTCGGTGTGTTTTTTGAGTCCTGAAATCGTTTCAGCGGCATTTTCAGATGATGCTCTAGTGAAATCGAAGTCATTAGGTTCATCCGGATAAAATATGTTCCAAATTTCTTCCGTTTTCCTTTTACACGTGCCTTGAAGAGAATATACAACACTAGAGTTGTCAAGGGTCATTCCATAAAGTTCCTCACAGCCAGAATTGTAACGAAACTGATTAAAAAGATAAAGAAATCCAGCTTAAAATATCAAAACAAACAAGCAAAAAAGAAGCAAAATTTCTTATATTAAGCTTATAGAGATACGGGATTAAGCTTATAAAGTTCAGCACCAAATTTCACATGAATTGGATTAAAAGAACTTAGAAATGTAAAATCTAGGTTAAAAAAATAATAGAATACCGTAATCACATCATAACAACAAAAAAGGGGAAATTACACTTCGATGATGGAGAAGAAAGGGAAAGCTTGCCGCCGAATACTAACGATTTTGGCTGCGAAGGGGAATCAAAAGAAGAAGATGTAAACGGCTGGAATGGAAAAATAGGTGAAGGAAAAAAATAAAAAAGGGTCAAAGGGGTGTGGGACTTAGAAATTGTAAACTTGCGGTATTTGTAAATGCAAACGCCACTAATGTATTGATAAATTGCGGCGTTTACAAAAAATGCCACTAAAGTATGAGTCTTTAGCGGCGTTTGTATAGAAACGCCACTAACATACGAGTCTTTAGCACCATTTATATAGAAACGCCACTAAATTACGAGTCTATAGCAGGGTTTGTATAAAAACACCACTAAAGTATGAGTCTATAGAGGCGTATGCTACTAAAGGAGTCACTAAAGTACGAGTCTATAGCGGCGTTTGTATAAAAACGCCGCTAAAAATACCGCTATAAACCCATTTTGCAGTAGTGTGACATGGGAATCCCATAAGAGGTAGCTCACAAAATTACTTTGGGAGATGAAGGTGAAGACTATCATAGGTTTTTAGCTTCTACAAGGAAGCTATGCAATCAGCACCGATTATAATAGGACATGTCACCCACAAACAATTTGCTGACTTTGTCATTGTTTTCTTGTTGAAGACTCAATTTTTGCTTCAAGTTGATAGTGCTGGAGCAAGAACAGTAGAACACGAAATATATGGTGGGGGAAAATGGATAAGTGATGCGTAAAAATCGGTTTTGGTGGATGATGACATGGGTTTCCATCTTATCTAGCTACATCGAATATAGAGGAGAGAGAAAATGTTTCAACAAATTCCTGGAGTTTTGGTGGAAGGAATTGAAAGAGTCTATGATAATATTTTGAAATATTTGTTTCTGTTTTGTTTAACTAAACTCAAGCTACTCGAAAACTAAAGTAATATTTCAAAGTTCATCTTATTTTGATTTGAATTTTTAAAAAATATATGTTATCTGTTTTGATGTTTATATTTATCAAATATTTAAAGTTTATCTTTTTTTTTATTAGATTTGATGGAATTTATTTTTTTAAAAGAAAACTCGATTTAACATAAAAAATTAAAGTCTCATCAAAATAATTTCTTAATTGTGTCCTATTGATGATGATGATTGATCCATTCTTAATATTTGTATTAGAAAAACACACAGAAAACAACTGACAGGAAAGTAAACCAAGTTAATTAGCAGTCACGTGACGTAAACCTACCAGACTATCTTAATGACATTTTCCTCAGGAAACCACAAAAAACTTCATGTTGCTACTCATTATTCTTCTAATCATTTATAGTTTTCTATCTCTACACCTCTCTGGTTTTCTTTTCCTTTTCTCTTTATTTCTGTTGATTCTGATCAAATAGTTAATGGCAAGGTCAAGAAATAAGAACATACAAGCCAAGCAGGTGGCTATGTCTTCCTCTTTTCTTTTCTTTTTGAACAAACATCAGCTTGACTTGGAAGTGCAAAAACAAGGTAACTTGACAAGCAATTAAATGTTTTCAATGTTTTATTCCTAGGACTGAAGTTCATTTGAGGTCTTTGTGCCATTTACAAATGAGATTTGGTGCTGTCTCTAAACTTTCTACAAACTTAAAACATTTGAAAAAAACGTATGAATTGAGCATGTGACGTCGGTCAGGATAGCGATTATCCTGCAGGCTAGTTCCAACAGATGATTCACAAGAGAAAATTCGCCCAAAGCAAGAGAAAAAATATCTCTAGAGTTTAACGGAATACTATAAAATCAAACAATGCGAAAATCAATTCACAAGCCGGACTGTTATAGCCAAAAATCGTCTTTATCCGAATTTTACCAAAAATAGCAAAATCTTAAAAATCACTCTAAATTGAAATTTGAAATAAATTAAGCAATCTGCAAAAAATCCGGCCCAAATCGGATTTAAAATGACTTTTTAATTGACAAACGAAATATTATCATAAATAGTAAAAAATAAATAAAACTAGTGATTCGGAGGGAAAACGACATAATTTGATGTCGAAAAAAGGCACATGGAGCCATGCTCAATGTGGGCAGCGTGCCCGTCAAAAGGGGCTTTCCGAATTGGGGTTTTATGCACAATTCTGATACCCATAGCTAAAGTTATGGTCAAAAGACTGAAACGCACTCAAAACGGTCCCAATGAGGAACATATCACAATCAACTCCCTCCTTTGCGCTGATCTGCCAACTCATAGTATCTCAGTGCCATCAAGGTGCAATCTGACAGCTCAACATCATCTGTCTCGGATCCCCTACATCAGCATGTTACGTGAATACGTTGTTTGATTCGTATATTTCTAGTTCAGGAAATCCGAATTTGATCATGTACAAGGTTGACTTGGAAGAAAAAGGAAAAGTGGGAAATGAGGTATCTGTAATCTGATACTTTCTCCTACTTTATTAGTTACATGCAATGAACTACTATTAAATTTTAATGCAGGAAGGTGAGCTATATGCCAAAGAAAATGGCTTGACATTCCTCGAAACATCAGCGAAGACTGCACATAACGTCAACGGACTCTTTTATGAAATCGGTAATACCGTTTTTAATATACTGTTTACCTCCTTATGCGATGCTATGAGTAGATCATTACGTCTCGCCCTTTTTTCTTACACGCACATTATATCCCGAAGCAAAGAGATTGGTGAAAGCTGCTCCTTCTAGGCCGACCAGAATGAGATTGCATAGCAGGCCTCGACAAAGTGGAAGAATGCTCTTTTGTTGCTCCTCGTGATATGAAAGTTTAGCTATATACTCTCACGTAGTTTGTGTTATCGAACATGGTTTAGACCAGCCATGCTTGAGGTTTTCTCAATTAATAATTGAAAATTTGATTTGCAGTTCATTGAAAGATTAACCTCATGAATATATGCAGTATGTACAGTGTTCAAACATCAGATCTTCATTTTCAGGTTCAAATGCATTCATGTTGTGTAATAGATATTCAATGTAATGAGTTTGTTAATTGTAACTATGGGGATGTATGCCCAATGTAGCCTGTAAATTAATGATCTCTGTGTAATAGATCTTTATCTGCCTTACCATTAATAGTATAATCACCGAAGCCGAGCTTAAAGAAAAAAAATTAAAGTTGAATAGAATTAGGTGTGAAATTGGTGAAAAAGTGTTACTTATGGACAAACACGAAAAATGAGAATTTGCGTTAATATTAAAAACTTTGAATATTTACAATATATTCACACTGAGAAATCAACAAATTTATTGGTCTTTCTCTCTTAATCATAATTAGATGAGTCATAAGAGTCTCATCAAATCATCATAGCGACAGTGCAGTGCTGAAGTCCATCAACTTTGAGGCCGCAGCTCTCCATTGAAACTCAATGTCTTCTGCTACTTTTTTGGCGTCGAATGCAGCACCCAGCAAACCACGCCTCGTAAACCCTACTGCGTATAACCTATCTTCTCCTTTCCACCCATTAGGGAATGGCTGCTTTGGCATCCCATCCTTCTCCGAAAATAAATCTGCTCCCTGCACATTCACCTCATCAAAATAAAATACCAACAATGTTTCCTCCAAATATACGTGTTAAAGTCATTTACCTTCAACCATTTTGGTACATTGCTTTTGAAACCAGTGGCAAGAATGATGGCATCGAACTTCTCCTTTCTTCCGTCTACAAACTCAGCCCCAAGGGACGTTATCCGTTTTATTCCTGGATAAACCTAACACATATATGAACACTAATTTTGTTCAATTAACAACACATTATAGAATGCAAGATTTGTATAGACAAGTTTTGCATTGAACCCTAATATTTCCCCTCTTGATCTTGGCTATCGTCCCAACATCCAAAACAGGTGTCTTGCCAGATATGCTTTTTAGTTCGAGGGGACCGATTTTGGGACGACGGAAGCCGAATTTTTCTGTGTCTCCAAGCACCAAACGCGACATCATAAGCAAAAACCAATCCACGAATCGAACGGGGAACCACTTGAGCATCTGTACCAGCAATCCAAATGTTGATATTCCTAGCATTTCACGAGGCAAAACGTGCACCTGCCACAATGTCATCAAGGATGTCGATTAAAAAAAAGGGTAAACAAGAGATGATTACGAGAAGAAAGAGAGAAAGAAACAATGCTTACTGAGTCTCTAACGACAAGTGATGTGCGGGTATTAAAGTTGGCAAGATCCAAAGCAACCTCCATGCCTGAATTCCCACAGCCAACCACCAAAACATCCTTTCCTTCATATGATCTTCCATTTCTGTAGGAGCTTGAGTGAATCATAGTCCCACCAAAATCACGCATTCCTTCGATAAACGGCACCACTTCATCAGCATTCTCTCCATTGGCCACAATAAGCCACTGTGACACATACTCAAGCGAGCTGTTCTTGTTTTAGCCCCGAGGTCATGACTCGCCAAGCCCCATGTCGATGATCAAATTCTGCACTTACTACAACCTTATTAAATACTGGTTCTAACCCAAAATGATTCTGGTAGGACTCTAAATAATCCAAGAATTGGTTTTTGGTTGGGTAAGTTGGGAAATGGCTTGGGAACCCCATAAGAGGTAGCTCACAAAATTGTTTTGGGAGATGAAGGTGAAGACGATCATAGGTTTTTAGCTTCCACAAGGAAGCTATGCAATCAGCCCTCTCGAGGATTAAGCTAGGGATACCTTTTTGTTTGAGACAAGCAGCAGTGGCTAAACCTGAAGGGCCAGCGCCGATTATAATAGGACATGTCACCCACAAACAACTTGCTAACTTTGTCATTGTTTTCTTGTTAAAGATTAAGTTTCTGCTTCAAGTTGATAGCGTTGGTACAAAAACAACAAAACACGAAATATATGGTGGGGAAAAATGGACAAGTGATGCGTAAAAATTGGTTTTTGAATGTAGAACGAAGATTAGGGGACGATGACATGGGTTTTCATCTTATCTACATCAGATATAGTGGAGAGAGAAAATATTTTTACAAATTCCTGAATTTTTGGTGGAAAAAATTGAAAGAGTCTATGATAATATTTTAAAGAATTTGTTTCCGTTTTATTTAACTAAACTCAGGTAATATTTCAAAGTTTATATTATTTTGATTTTGATTTTTTAATTTTATTTAACTAAACTCAGGTAATATTTCAAAGTTTATCTTATTTTGATTTGGATTTTTTAAAGAAAATATATGTTTTCTGTTTTGATATTTAATAGCCTGTTCATGAAGCTTTGGTGAGGCAAGTGGAACTGCTTGCATGCATAAACAGTGAAGAAGAAGCCAAATTACTAGTATATGTCATTTTATTGGTTTTTCCTATAGTTTATTACCCAGAATTTCTGTTTTTATGTCTGGTTTCAGAAAAAGAACTCAACCTCCATTTCGAGCCAATAATTGTTTAACATATAACTGTATTTAAGAAATATGCCAAACTCCTTGGCTTAAAGGGGCTGGGAATTGAATATTTTACAAAGCAAAACAATATTAGTTAGCCATTCATCTGTGGGCCGAAATCTCGACATTTAAGTTCAACTTAACCAGCGTAATGGGTTCTGCAGCCACACAAAACAAGAAAATTAGACGTCAGATAACCCTATATTTATATACATATATATGAAGTGTGAATGATTTGATGTTTGATAACATACAAACTTCCTCTTCTTCTTCTTCTTATACTTGTCAATGTAGGTTTGGAGCTCCTGCTGTTTATCAATGGTTGTCTCAAGTGCCTGCATGTAAGCAAGAAAGGAAACAAACGATTAAGATTCAGACACAGTGACGAATTCATGTTCTTAGTTGCAGATAACCAATGTACCTTCTTAGTAGCAGATAGCTCTTCTTCCAGGGTGCTGACCCTGCTTAAAGCAGCATTCAACATCTCCTTCTTTTCAGGTGGCAATGTTGCCGGTTTCTCGATGAGTACGGTCACCTTCTCTTCCAATTCGGCCATGCGTTTCATCATGGCAACCACGTCAGCGTCGTTGATAGGTGGTGCTTGTTGAGCTGCAGGGCCCTTGATCATCGAGTCATCGTAGTAAACTTGACCGCCATAGAAAAGAGATTCGGTTATTCTCCTAGGTATGATGCTGCGGGACAGGCGAACCAGGGCGATGATCCCCATAATGATGGCCACTATTCCTCCGAAAATGTTGGTTCCCATTCCTTGTGTAGCCATCCTAACATCCTTTGTCTGGTAACAATCTGAAATTTTGGGGACAAATGAATGGTGTCATCGGTATATTCGTAAAACTCGAGAAACGTATCCAAATGGCGAATGCAAGTACCTTTGGACATGGAAAATCCATCATCTTTCATTGAGTTAGTCCAGTAAGGGTCTTCCAATGGAACGAAATGAGCCTCTCTCTTGATAGGAGTCTGCAGCATATAAAAACATGTGGTTATGTTGCCATATGAGAGCTGCAGTATGAGATATCCTGTTTGATTATTTCCAGGCTTACTTCAGGAAAAGAATCTGCATGGCATTCGGCGCTATTCGTGTCGGTCTTTGCATTGAAAGGGAAGCTATGTTTCTGCTCTGCATCTGATATTTTCATCCTTGTACACTTTGCTTGACCGTTTTCAACCTTCTACGCTCATAAAAATGTAGTACTCAGGTTCATTATTCCAAGTATAATATTAGATAGATACTCGTCGAAAATCGATCAAGCTTTTGGAGACTACCTTCAATATATTGGGATCGTTCCATGGACCCTTGTCGGAAGTCATGCAACCGCCTTTGTCAGCACAGTTACAAGTACCCCCCAAGAACTCTGGCAATTGACTGAAGAACATCACAAGAAATAGATATTTTTTAGTTCTAGAAAGTTTAAAATGCATGGCACATTGTAATCTTGTCAACTGATGAGAAAAATGTTAAAAAAAAACTCACTCTGCATCAATTACTTCAAGCAATTTGCTCTGGTACTTGTTACCCAAAACCTAGTGAAAATTTTGTTTAGCAACATTATAGTACCAGAAATCAAATTTAGTGTCAGGTAATAATGGTGAATCAATACTTACATTGATCTTTGCAGCAGTCTTCGGGTCAAGGAACGATTTAACCGTGTTCCATAACAGCCTAAACCCGGAGCCAGCATTGATGATAAACATGCGGTTCAAAGTCTGCAATGTTGGAACCATTCAATTAGCTTTATTTTGGTGCAAGAAATAGACAGAGAATCTGCAGGCATGTAAAACTGAGCTTGTGGAGTAATGAGTATCGAGTACCTCGGGATAATTGTCACCGTCAATCTTCTGAAGGCTCTGAAGGAGCTCCCTTGCAGACTTGTTGAAGCTTGAAAGCCCCTGAAAGTTTATATATGTTGTAGGTGTTAGAACTGCAACGAAGCGAAACTATAAGCAGCAAATCGGACATACCACTCCTTCCACATCCAATATGGTTGTGCTCTGGTTAATTTGCTTCTTTGCTGCAACGGATGCAGCAGGAAACTTAATAGCAAAGGTCTTCTCAAACTCCTTTACATGGTACTTCAAATATCGGTCGATTGTTGTAACTCTAATCAGCTTGTTAACATTCACTTGACCAAGCCTTTCGATATAAACAGGTCGTCCATCCTTGTCCACCCCATGATATCCTTGTGGATAATACTTGATCACTTCACTGTATTCCTTGAAATCAAAGTCCTTAACAAAGAAACCCCAAGAAGAAAAGTTCAGACACAGTTCATAAGTTTGCACCATCTATACATATATATGGAAACAGATGTATATACCTCCATGATTGTGTCGGCCCCGAATTCCTTCCTCCATTGGAGCATATCAACCCACATTTGCTTTGCTTTATCAACATCAAATTTCCTAGCCCTAAGAAACCTGTATCATCAGAATGATCAAATCATGAGTCAACTGGCCTAATCTTTCATTCAAAGCTAACTAATGAAATGGAACGATTGCGACCTCAACATCATATGATGATCATCATGTTTAGCAGGCAATAATTCATCTAAGATGAGTGCTTGGCGGAACGCATCCACTGCTTGCAGCTCTTCAGAATCAAGGCCATCCTCTATGTTCACAACCGACATCACTCTACTATGTCTCCTGCCTTTCTTCCTAAATGAATGTTTAAACTTGCTTGAGGCACTCATTGCCTTTTTCTTAAGAGACGCAAGCTTTGTTCTCTTGTCATCTTCCGAGTTCTCCAAATCAAACGTTCCAGACTCTGCGAAAACGGAGATAAAAAAGCACCATCAAACCATAACAAGAAACCAGCATTGAAAAGAACTATCGTACCATGTACTGAATTACAAAACACTCACCGCCTATTCGAACTTGTCGTTCCACAGGTTGAGACAATGTACCAGCCATGATTACAGTTTCGTTGAGCTCAAAGTGCAGCAGGTTTAGCTTGTAGCACTCAAACAAAGATGTTCAATATGAATGCTCTTCTGCCTAACTAGGTTTTTACACCTAGAATCCAATCCGAACATCTGCAAATAAGCCAATGAAAAATCATTGGAAATAACATATGATAATGGGATTAAACTGATAACATATGATAAGAATGAAGAGAAAAAATATTATACCATATGATAGGAGTCTGAGACTAAGGCTAATAGAGAAGAGGGATAGGTTTATATAACAAGAGAATTGGATTGACATTGTCAAATATAGTTCTTTCTGAACATATATTTCTTTTTTCAGGTTTACTATTATTGACAATGTCTTAAAAGAACCTTAAGCAGTTGTTTTAGGGTTTGGCGATATGCATGCAACTCCATTCAAAATCCTTTGACGGTCTTGTGTCTTAAATTAACTCACCAACGGTTTTCACCCTTTTCTCGACAACAGATCGGATACAGAAATTTATGTAAGATAATATTAAATTTTAGCGATACGAAATTTAAGGAATGCGAGATTATATTAAAAATTTTCCATTAATGAAAATCATGTCATATCAAACATGTATATTTTACACAATATAAGATCTTTTCCCTTCACTAATCTCTCTAAAAGCTATAGTCAACAAACGCAGATTAGTGCATTTTTTCCATCATCAAGCGGCTACTCACCATCTTTCTCACTCTCCATCTCTTCCCCCAAACCCTAAACCACCCATTTACCAAACTCTCCATTTTGCCCTTCAAAACTTCCAAAAATCTCTTCAAGCACCATTCCTTCTCCTTCATAGCTGTCCTCTCTGAAAACCCTGCTAAAACCCTCAACACTGCTTCACCAAATCCACAGATGGGTTTTGTCGTAACAGGTTTTCGTCCGGGCACGAAATATTTACTTGACTGGAAAAGTGATGTGAATAAATGGTTTTGAAAATAATTTGGGAGTCGCCATCGGCCTTTTGGGTCAGGTAGGTCGAATACCTAAAAAATATCTTTTAAAAGAGTTTTTAAGAAAACATCAATTAAAAGATAAACTGATCTGCGTTTTAACCAAAAATTCGTTCTTTTTAATAATAAAAAGGGATTCGTGGTCGGTTACGTTTAGGGAATGATTAGCACCCCTACAACGCCCAAAATTGGTACTTTTTAATTATAAATTGTCTCTGTTATTAAAAATTAAAAATTAAAAATATATTTAATTTATAATCCTATTATTTCAAAATTATATAAAAAAATATTTATTTATTTAAAAAAATCAGAAAAGGACTTCTAGGTGCCTTAAGACAGCTCTTTTATTTGATATTAATAAATATTAATTTAAATAAATTAAATAATATTTTTTATTAATATTTAATTTTAAAATACCAGAATAGGACATCCAGTTGTATTAAGACTGCCCTATTCTTCGATATTGAAAAATAAAAAATAATTTATTGAAAAATATAAATTATTATTTATTATTATATATATATTTATGACTACATAATAATAATAAAAATATTTAAATATATAAAAAAGTAAAATTAAAACAATAAGAATACAATTAGAATTATATATTTAAAAGCAGTAAAATAAATGAAAATATTTAAAATTAATGACTAAATTATAGTAAAATTGAAATTAAATACCTAATTCATAATTAATCAAAATTATAGGGATTAAACATGCTATTTCCTTATTTATTAATTTAGTGACTAAAATAAAATTATATAAAATTCGGATATTAGATTAAAATAAATTAAAACATACTATTCAGATTAAAATATTAATTATTAAAATTAACGGACTAAATCTGTTATTTACCCTAAATATATTATTTTAATACAAAGGACTAAAATAAATAAAAAATAAATTTAAAGAACCAAATTAAAAGGATTATAAATTGATTTAGTGACTAAAATGTAAAGTTTACAAATTAGGATGACTGCGGAAAGGATTTAACCTTTATTTAATTACACAAATAGCCCTCCCCGAAACGGCGTCGTTCGGGAAGGGCTATTTAAAGCTCAAATCAGCTGGCCCGAAGGGCCAGCATTCATTTCATTTTTTTATTCTCTCTCTAACTGAGAGAGAAATGAAATGCTCTCCCCTCTCTCTAGCTTCCCTCATCGGAGGGAAGCCGGTCACCGGGCGGCAGCCGTCTGCCGCCGTGACTCTCACCGCCGGCCACCGTATCCGGTGGCCGGAAAAAATTATTTTTACACCACCATGTAGATCGGACCGTCCTAATGACGATTCCGATGCTCTTTTCTCCTAAACAGTTCCTGATCGGAGCAAATCTAAGAAAGTACCTTCGATTTTCGAAGGTTTCGGTGACATTTGAAGAGGTCCGGTGGTCGGGGCTTCCTCGGTAAGCTTCTCTCCCTTTTTTTTTGTTTGCTGGTTGTTGTGTTGTTGCTCTCCGTTTTTGTATCTTTGCTCTCGGTTTTGTCTCTCTGTGGCCTGTGGGTTTTTTTTTCTTTGCAGATGGGGTGATGGCTTTATAGCCATCACCGGTGTGACCATCGGACCGGGTAAAAGAGTGGAGTCTGGTGAGTCACCGGACTCCCAGTGGTGACTCACCCTAGGGCCATAACGTGGACGGCTGGCGTTGGAACTTCTGGAGCCTTCTGTTGGGGCGAGGCAGCGGCTGGAGCGACGTGGAGCGGCGACTGCTGGCGTAGTCCCTAGGGTATCATAACCCTAGGGTTTCCTGCTGGAGGTTCTTGGACCGTTGGATCATGCCAGATCCAACGGTGGATGGATGAGACGGCTGAGGCTTAGATACAAACCCTAAACGGGTTTAGGGTTGCACATTTGGGTTAACTGGGCCACTGTATTTGGGTTAACTGGTTGGGCCAGACTTGGCCCGTTTGTAATAATAAAATAATAATAACAACAATAATAATAATAATAATAATAATAGTAGTAAATGGAGGAAAAAAATAGTATCTTCAGCTGCCCCTCTTTGCTCATTCTTGTGTTAACAAGAATAGAGTAAAGATGAAAAGATAATAATATTTTTTTATCCATTTGAATTCACTTGACTATGATGGAGATGTTGAATAAATTCTTCTCTTTTTTCAGATGAGTTCTTCTTATTATGAACTTTCCGCTGGGGATGATGCTAATATATCTCCTTCTGTGATAAAATTATGTAAAAGGTTGAACAAGCTCTTCTTATTTTGAACTTCTTCTTCTTCAGATGAGTTCTTCTCATTATGAACTTTCTCTGGAAAAGCTGATCCATCAAGTGATGGATTTGAGCAAAAGGTTGAACAAATTCTTCTCATTATGAACTTCTTCTTCCTTCTTCAGATGACGAGTTCTTCTCATTATGAACTTTCTCTGGAAATGTCAATCCATCAAATGATGAATTTAAATAAAAGGTTGAACAAATTCTTCTCATTATGAACTTCTTCTTCCTTCTTCAGATGACGAGTTCTTCTCATTATGAACTCGACCTGGCAATGTTAATCCATCAAATGATGAATTTAAACAAAAGGTTGAACAAATTCTTCTCATTATGAACTTCTTCTTCCTTCTTCAGATGATGAGTTCTTCTCATTATGAACTCGACCTGACAATGTCAATCCATCAAATGATAGATTTGAATCTTTGCTAAAATCTTTGAAATTCCTGTTAAAAATTCAACATGGATGAAAATGAATGAAAATGCACCTATTTTCGCAAACACCTAAATATGATGCATGAATGTTAAGTTATTTGATTTCAGATTGGTGAACTGAGTATTTCTTCAGTTGTAGAAACCCAATAGATCTTTCTTCTTCAAATCAAAGAATCTATCATCTTTGACAAATGTAGATGTAGATATGATTTCACAAAACCTCTTGAGAATAAAACTCAATAGTATAGGCTCTTGAAAAGCTTGCATTCATGCAACATGTTGATTCTGATAACAACTCATCTGATTATGAAGTGATCTTTCAAGATGATTTCGCAGATATCGATAGTTTTTTTGATACTGAGAAAATCTTGAATTCTGATTCTGATGAGGAGAGTAAACTGTTATACTTGAAAAGAAATGGGATTCTCAGATGCTATGTCTTCAATAGTCATAGAGATATAATCCTGATTCATCAATTGTAGAGTTGACAAATTTTATATGTGCTACTCAAATGGCTAAGGCTGCTGACGCACTTCTTCCGGTAAAAGGTAGGAAGCCATTATGCAATGATCCCAATTACAAGAAAAGGCGAAACTTGGGCTATGATTTTTTTGGGAAAGAAATAAGTAGAAGAAGCTTGAAAAGAAGCTTCTTAATGAAGACGATCATGCAGTTCATCTTTTAATTCCAATGATTGGTTCTGTGGTTCCTACCAAACCAGATCAGATAACTCAAAGAACATTTCCAGAAGATGCTATTGGGTCTTCTTATTTCTACTATGAGCACATTCATCTTTCAAATCCAATGATTGGTTTTTGTGGTTCATACCAAACCAGATTAGATAACTCAAAGAACACTTCCAGAAAATGCTATGAGCACATTCATATTCCAAATCCAATTATTGGGTTTTGTGGTTCATACCAAACCAGATTAGATAACTCAAAGAACACTTCCAGAAGATGCTATGAGCACATTCATTTTTCAAATTCAATGATTGGTTTTTAGGGTTCATACCAAACCAGATTAGATAACTCAAAGAACACTTCCAGAAGATGCTATGAGCACATTCATCTTCCAAATTCAATGATTGGTTTTTAGGGTTCATGTTAAACCAGATCAGATAACTCAAAGAACACTTCCAGAAGATGCTATGAGCACATTTATTTTTCAAATTCAATGATTGGTTTTTAGGGTTCATACCAAACCAGATCAGATAACTCAAAGAACACTTCCAGAAGATGCTATGAGCACATTCATTTTTCAAATTCAATGATTGGTTTTTAGGGTTCATACCAAACCAGATCAAATGACTCAAAGAACACTTCCAGAAGATGCTATTGAGTCTACGACACTTGTTCTACTTGAATCTGATGAGGTGGAAATACTTCTAGGTTTCCCTAAAACCATATACAAGGATCTGTATAGAAACATGTTCCATGGTGGTATCAATGTCCTGTTTCTTTTCTCTGGGATCAATGATG